GGATCTACCGCCCGTGATTGACCTGTTCGGACGGGAACTCCGACTCATGGATTACCCATGGAGAATAACCCGCGCCGCGATACTTGCGTTCATCCGAAACTGCAGGGACGCGGACGTCCGAAATACATTTCAGGAGTACCTGGAAAAGCTAGAAGCACTAAATCGACGGATATAAAACTGAAAGTTCGAAATAAAATACGTCAAGAAATTCACACGACTCGGAATATAAAGCTAAAATCACAAATCGAAAAATCAAAAATATAATTTTGCACGGAATGAAAATAAATTTTCAGGGACGAAAAAAAAACATTCACAACTAAGTACCCCGGAATATCACAAAATTTATGTAGATATAACGACGTAACAGTGTCGCTCACATTTCCAAACATACGAAACAGATAGAAGATGAAAGACCTAAAGTAGTGGAAACGAACCAATAAAGAAAAAGTATTCACCTGGAACTGAAGGAAAATCCACAGCCATGAAAGTAAACAATAACAGAACAACAAACAATGCCAGATTCGAGTCAGTATAAAAAAACAGTGGAGTTATAGGCAAGTACCACAGTAAGACGGAACTCCGATAGAGAGGAGAGTACGTGAGTAGCACGCACAGAATCATTAGATATGATGAAAGTAGCTCCAGATTGAAGGCATGTTGGAAATCGACGACGACAAGGACAACACAGAGAGCGACTGCGGGAGATCCGGAGGATAGACGATGAGTACACTGCAAGGATAGGGAAAGTGGCGGAGAAGGACTGAGAACGAAAGGTATAAATACTGAGGATAGTGGCTGAAATGATTACCTGAGCAGTGAGGTAGAAGGGTAATCGTGACTGGTGTCGCATGCCATGGACATTAGGTGTATGCTATGAAAATAAAACCTCGCACGTTCTGTCTATATTTGCATGTGTATGCTGTGAAAGTAAAACCTCGAACGTTCTGTCTACATTTGCATGTGTTTATCTCTATGCACGGTGCTTAGAACTTGCGGGCGGTACCCGCGATGATTGGCATTGTATAGACCTGTCACTCTTCCATTTTACATTCACTGTCTTTTTCTCTCTCTCATCATTCGTAACTCTTTTCTTTCATGATATCATAGTGGTGATTTGTTGGAGATTACTATAGCATGGAGATTACTCAACGATTTTTGGAGATTCTATTTTACTTATCTGGTGTGTACTGAAAACGATCAACGACGTTGTAGGGTTTTTTATCGATTTCAAGTACGAAGACTACCTACCTGATGTTCCCAAGCTTCAAGGAAGATGTCGCGTTCGCGATCATCGTCGGACAGGAGGCGGCGTAGACACTCGTCATCATCTTCCGGATCTCAAGGGAGGAAGCGCTCAAGAAGGGGGAGATCGAAAACTCCGAGAGATAGAAGACATAAGTCAAGATCACCATCGTCACGGAGAAAAAGGGCGGAGTCAGAATCTCCAAGGTGGTTCTCGAGACCATTGTGGAAGCAAAGACGGAATGATTTCCCCCCACCGGGAAATCGAGCGTGGTTTACGGCAGATTTAAGGGAATAAATCTTTAAGCTTCGTCGGGAGATGGACAAAGTTCTCAAGACACTGGAGCAACTCACACGAAAGACAATTGAAAAACAACCAGCTCCTCCGAACAAGGAAGACACTGCAAAGAAGCCTGAGCTAACTCCGGACGCGCTCAAGTCCATCATTGATGAAGCACTGAAGCCGACAAAGATGAACCAAGGGGGACAACATCAAGCTGGTCCAAGCGCAACCGGTCATAAGAATGCAGAGGCGGAAGATAAAGTAGAAAGGATGGTATCGAAAGTGCAGAAGGAGGTCAACAACCTGAAACTACTAAAGTATGATCTGGCGGTTGTGAAGGGCGTGTTGCAGAAGATCCATGAACCAACTCGTACCTGCACTCCGATCGTGTCACCTTCGGTTCATCCGAACGGATATGTGGGGAACAATGGTTGGACTACCAACTTCAGTACATGGTAGCCACAACATTCCGAGCCGAAGCATGCCAAGCAGAAGCGCACCGAACAAAAGCAGATTGGGACGCGTAATCCCTCCACACCCCAAGAGAGGACGAACGAAGATTAGTCGAAACGTGTCGGCAGCGAAGTCGAAGGCAAAATGAACCATTAATTTCGGGGTCGAACCGATGACGGACATGCAGCTCCTTCGTCTTCACTACATGCACCTGAAGGTCTTATGCAAGATGCATGACATCAGGTACCTGAACAAGCTGCAAGCGATCTCGACATTGAGGCAAGTTCCTGGATTGATCGCCTACAAGGGGCGGGACTTCAACCGGGATTCTGATCTTGAAACACAAATCATGCCAGATCCAGATAACATCAGAGTGTCCAATACAATTGGCGGCAACACAAGTGAGGATGATTACGAGAGCCTTAATACAAGATCAAGCGGGAGTAATGAGTATGACTCATCCGACACATTTTCGAGCGCCGAAGATCTGTCGGGACAGTAGAAGACACGTCAGCATCAAGCGACCTCACCACGATACAGAAGTGGGAGCAGATACACAGGCTATCAATGAAAATTAAGCAACTAGTTAGTACAGGGAGTTTCACCTTGGTGTCGACATATGTACGTGGGAAGGACAGGAAGATAGCCTGACAAGAGATGGACTGAACACATAAACTTGGCCAAGAAT